CGGCGCCCAGCTGATGCCGGAACCGGGCCGCGGCGTCGAAAAGGTTGGGGATCCCTGCATTACATCATATGAGTTAAGAAGTAAATGTTGAGAAATATTAACTTGAAAACATTAATTCTTGTTATTACTCAACTGTAGATTTTGGACTTTAGATACCATATATCAGTATCTTTTCTTCATTGTCACATGAATCAATCTGTCACACTTACCGTTAATATCGTTGTGTACATAAACAACTCTAGTTTGCTCTGACTGTGACTTCCCCAGGCAGTATGTGATGCCCACGAGGCCTGCTCGAGAAAAACCTCGCATATGCACTTCCTTGCTGCTGTTCCTGTATATCTGGAACTTAGATGTGGTCTTGATCATGGCATTGTCTCTGTCAATCTGGAGGCTTATGTTCCGCTCACCTGTCACACAGGACAGGTAGAAGTGGTTGTATGAGGGACTCAGAACATTGGCCACCAGAGTGATATCCAGAATTGCACCTGCATCAAAAGAACCAAAGCAGCCATCTTACAGACATGGAGAGCAGACAAATTATAAGCATGATTGAATTGATTCAATGTTAAATCTTGCCTTAGATAGCAAAGGGAAAGTTAGAAGAGGAAAGCCTCAAACTCAGAGAAAGACTTAGAACTCATAGAACTCATAGAGCATAAGCAAACAAGTATAAAGAAAAATACTAAACAAACAATACTAACAGAAACTAATATTATTTAGCCCTCTGGTTTTTCAAATGGATGAGGCTTTTCAATACTCACAGCCACTTAGGTTTATAAAAAGAATGAATAATAAACAGACCAATAGAATAACATAGTGTTATTACTATCATAATCATACAAATACTATTTCTCAGTTATAAATAGGGAGTAAACCTCACACTCACTAGCACTGATGATGTAACTTAGTCAGGTAATGAAATGTCTGTAAGCAAAACAAGCAAGTTCAGAGAACACCAAGGACTCCATAGTTGATTCTATTCTGGTTTCATTTCTCTTAGCATCCATTCTCAGTCACCTTTCCTACCCTATACAGAGGGCATTTTTCTGGATTTTTTTCTTCTTCATAGTCTCTGCTCTTATCTGGTTCGTTTTCATATTTGATCTTTCCTTTGCTGACCTCTTCCCCCAAACCAACTTTGGTCCCATTAAATTTTTCTGGAGAATTATTGTGCTGATGGACAGAGATATGACCCTACTTACATATGCCCAACTTTTTGTTATACTTGGAAAGTATAAAAAGAATCCACAGCCTCAGTTATAAAATTATACTGGGCAGTCATGAAAATAAATTGTAAAACTCTCTATGCATTCTGCATTTCTATGAGATACAACTTCTCTTCATAATATATTATTGTGATCACTATTTGGGGTCCTTTGACCAGCTCAGTTTTTAAATCCCTATAGTGGACAGCACAATCCCAGCTAAACTAATTTCAAGCGTTCTATTTCTTCTTTGCAATCTTTGTTCCTTTGGTTGCGTTGTTTTTGTTTTGTTTCTTTGTTTCTAAATGGTTTTAAAAATGTTAACTGTCCTGGATTTCTGGGAGTTGGATGGCTTATACATTTTACTAATATTTATATTATATACGTTGATTATAATAATTATTGAATGATTTTTTTAAAGAATATTGAATATGGACAATGATATTCTGTATCCTTGTACATTTTTTTAAAACCAAAGGATTTGAAAAATAAAAGTGCATTGGAGAACCTGGCACAGAGGAATCTAATTTGTAAAACACTATTTATTTACACTCAGACCACATTCAGTGTACTTAGATCACTAATGTACTAATTAATTCCTGTTTGTTCTGACCTGGAAAGCCAATTGAGAATAGAAGTCAAAGTTAACTCTGATCCTTTATAAAAGTCAGGCTCTCACAAAATTACTTGCATCGAAACACATGCTTATAATTAGCATGTGTGAAATATCAACTGTATCATATCAATTGTGCACTGTACTATTTTGAACATGGAAATCTAGAAAATTATTTCCAAGCTTATTGCTCAACCTGTAAAAATCCTGGATAGCCATCTCTGCATATGAAATAATTCAACTATCAGAAAGACTTCTTGTGATGCTGTCTTCTCCTGAAGGCTTAACTTTATTTTCAGTTAAGCGTTATATGACATTCTGATGTTATTTCTCATAAAAATGTTAACTTTAGTCTGATGTTACAGGAATGCTGAAGTTTGCATTCTTCCATACTAGTCAGTTAAATCACTTTGTAATTGAAAAATAAATTATGGCCCCTTTATATTTGTTGTTCAAACAGCATTGGCAACAACATATGATCTCTCTCTCTCTCTCTCTCTCTCTCTCTCTCTCTTTCTCTTTCTCTCTCTCTCTCTCTCTCTCACGCACACACACACACACACACTTTCTGATAAATTATTCAAGCTTCTATTTTTCTTATTAGAAAGAAATTAGTAAGACTTTTTAAAAAACATGTTTAAAATCCCAAACTCAGCTACTAGTTTTCTGATGAGTTCTCGTCAGCATCTTAACCATCTTAAATCCTAAAGTTTTGGGTGGTGCCCCAGACCTACTCCTAAAAATTGCCACTATGTTTTAAAACTAAATGGCGATAGAAGAAATCTTTCATAAAATACACAGAATCTGATTATATCAGTTATATCTGTTATTAAAATTTCCATAAAAATTAAGACAGATTTAGTTTTTGGTCTCTTGGCTTCTTAATTACAGGTCGCAATCTTATTGTGGAATTTTGCCTATACCAAGGTACTTAAAGACTGCATACATGGCTCAAGAGAGGTAGCACTTCCCTGGGCTGCCTAAGCAAGACTGAGTATCCAAATGAGAAGCTGCTGATTATATGTTTGATAGTGGCTGCAACATGTAGATATAAATAAAAGCAACACAACAAAAGAGAACTTAAAGTGATTTGTCTGTTTCCATACATCTTTCAAAATTTCTCATCTGTTATTATCTTTCCCAACTAACACATTTTACTAAGGGGCACAGACTTTTGCATGTGATAAAGTGAGCCGCATGTCTTTTGACAATATCTGTTAATCCAAAACAGTGTGGCAGAGCCATATCAAGCCTTCTGATTTTTTGCCACCATAGATTAACATGGCTCTGTTACACTGTCTGCTACTGTTGATTATTTTCACTGTAATTCCCCAGCTTTCAGACTAGACTGGCAGATGCTATTGGTCTAGCTAACTGTGAATTATAAAGAAGAAAATGCAGACATGAATAGTTCTACATAGAAATACCATTTTTTCAAGGAAGTATTAGAAAGTTCTGCTCTCTGTTTTCCTGGCTATAAGGAGTTTCCCCCCCCCCCCACTAGTTCCAGAATCTCTTTTGAGTTGTCTTTTCTTTGATTCTGATAACAAAGTAAAATTGTTGGATACTATTTTCAATATGGACTCCAGTGATGATATTCTTTCCACACTGAACTAGATTAATGATTCATAGTGTCCAAGGTTTGGCCATTGGGTTGCCAGTTCAAATACTTTTCTATTCCTCAGATTTTTTTAATTGTTCATCTTTCAAACAATATTTTCAGAACCCTATACTGCATGCATTTTGTAATATTGGCTTCAGTCTGAATTGGTTTGTTTTAATTTTTGCATTCCATTTTATTGCCTTTTTCCCCATTTCATGATTTTTTTAACCCCAGCTTATGAGCTACCCAATTCACTTTTGTTCTTTGATAGAATAGGTGACATAGAAATGTGGCTGCTAGGTAAGACATAGGAAAAATGGTCTGTTTATTCATTTGTGTAATTTGTATAGCTGCCCATCTCAAACTCGTGACTGGGGGGGAGGGATGAACCATCATAAAAATAATTAAAACAGATTTTACCTGTCAGGTGCCAGAAGAAGCTGAGAAGACCAATTGTATCCAATCTCATTTTCAGGAACGGGCTCAATGTCAGGAGAATTGAAACATCACGATTTCAGAAGAAGAAGAAGTATTGAGAATTATTTCTGTTATTTCTCACTCGCCGTATGTATCTTTTAAGTTTGTTGTTCTTGAATCCTCCATTCTTTACGAGAGGTAAAACAGTTACAAGGAAATTGTCACTAGATCAAGCAGAATAAATGCATATTTCTTCTGTTTGAAGGAACTCAGCAGAGTATCTTGGGAAAAACTCCACTTAGATAGCCAAAGAAGTTGGATTTTTTTTTTTTTTAAATTCCAGGAACTTCATTCATTCAAGAGTTCACATTGGCACCTAAAGACCTAGCCACACATTTTAGCTTCTTGTTTATTGCCGCATGTAGCTGCCGAATGAATATAATCCTGTGGCTACATCCATGCTGCCTTGGGATCCTAACTGGAGAGTCCCAGCATGGCCACAAAAGAAAACTGGGCAGGACAGGAAACCGATTGAAAGTGGAAATGGACTGAGTACAACATGAGTGGCTGGGGCTCAGTCAGACAAAAAAAAAAAAAATTGGCTGCGCTTCAGGCAGGCAGGATGGAGGAATGCCTAGAGGCCCTTACAGACAGCTCAGCACTGACATGAAATCCTGTTTCTCATACAGCATTTCCTGCTCTCCACCCATTGTTCCATGCCTATCTCGGGGTCCTGCCACAGAAGAGAGCAGTATAATAGGAAGCCATTGGCTAAGATACCAATGTGACAAATCTCTAGTTTATGAAATGGCACAACTATGACATCTAAAGCATCTGATAAGATGACCCTGTGCTAACCAGCATGCATAAATGGAATTCCACTTTTTCAAAAAAAAAGAAAGTCTGCTATGTAATCTATGTATTCAAAGGCACAACTGATTAAAACTAGACTGCCCCTTTATTATTCACCCAAAAATAAAAAAAAATTTGGGGGGGAGAATGGAACAATTAGGCTTTACATCTGATTTACTGTCTAAACCAGGGGTGTCCAACCTTGGCAACTTTAAGACTTGTGGACTTCAACTCCCAGAATTCCTCAGCCAGCTTTGCTGGCTGAGGAATTCTGGGAGTTGAAGTCCACAAGTCTTAAAGTTGCCAAAGTTGGACACCCCTGGTCTAAACCAAGATAGCAAAGATGGAGAACTGGGCAAAATCAACTTCCCCAAAGGGGCTGGTTTTCACTTTTCTTCACATTCTATTAAAATGGGGAGGAAGGGAAGGAAGGGAAGGAGGGAGGGAGGAAGGAAGGAAGGAAGGAGAATCTCCCTATCAGTGTCCAAACACAAACAGAGACGATCTCTTTCCAACCACCTTCTCTTCATTGTACTTTGAACTTGCGCTGAAACTCTGGAGCTCAGGAAAGCAGGTAATATGTTACCAGTTTCATTAGTCTGACTGCATTGAAGCTGAAGAAATGCTACCTTAATCTTCCTTTGTACTACTTCAGTAACTCCCTGTTTCAGTCTCCCTCTTTCTTGATCCTCCTCCCCCCCCCAACCCCCCCCGAATCCAGAGGAAAAGTCCAGCATTTTTTTCCCAATCTCATTTCATTTCCAGGATGCGTGGAAAGAAGCAGGAGGAGTTAAAGGGACCCAGACTGGTGATGAAAAATTCAACTTTAGCCGAAATATACAAACTCCCATCCAAGGCCCTAAAGTTAATTGTGCCCATTTCTAAGCATTGTGCTGCATTTGGAATGCCAAACAACAGGTAACAGAATAACAGAGCTGGAAGGGACTTTGATGGTCTTCAGCCCCCTGTTAGAGCAGGAGACCCTATACCATTTCAGACAAGTCACTGTCCAGTCTCTTCTTAAAAAACCTCAGTGATGAAGCACCCACAACTTCTAAAGGCAAACCCTTCCACTGTTCATTGTTCTCACTGTTAGGAAATTTCTCCTATTTATTATTTATTTATTTATTTATTTATTTATTTATTTATTTATTTATTTATTTATTTATTTATTTATTTATTTATTTATTCAAGGGATTATAAGATCATAAGATTACAGGTATAAATATAAACATAGTTATGAATATATGAAATGGATACATATATAAAAAAAAGAAACAATAGGACAGGGACGGTAGGCACGTTGGTGCGCTTATGCACGCCCCCTGCAGACCTCTTAGGAAAGGGGTGAGGTCAATAGTAGACAGTCTAAGGTTAAAGTTTTTGGAGTTTGGGGAAGAAACCACAGAGTCGGGTAGAGTATTCCAGACATTGACCACTCTGTTGCTGAAGTCGTATTTCCTGCAATCAAGTTTGGTGCGGTTTACCTTGAGTTTGTATCTATTGTGTGCTCTTGTATTGTTATGGTTGAAACTGAAGTATTCATTGACGGGTAGGACATTGCAATAGATAATTTTATATACTATACTTAGATCGGACTGAAGGCGGTGTAGTTCTAGGTTGTCTAAGTCTAAGATTTCAAGTCTGGTGGCATAAGGTATTCTGCAACGAGTAGAGGAGTGAAGGACTCTTCTTGTGAAATATTTCTGGACTTTCTCAACTGTATTAATATCAGATACGTAATGCGGGTTCCAGACAGATGAGCGGTATTCAAGAATTGGTCTAGCAAATGTTTTGTATGCTGTAGTTAGTAGTGTGATATTACCGGAGAAAAAGCTACGCAGGATTAGGTTTAACAACTCTTAATGCCTAGATTGCTTCTCTCCTTGATTAGTTTCCATACTCTGTTTCTTGTCTTGCCTTCTGGTGATTTGAAAAAATAGGTTGACCCCTGCCCCTCTTCTTTGTGGCAGCCCCTCAAATATCAGAACACTGCTATCATGTCACCCCTAGATTAGAAATATCACTTATCATATATTACTTGAAACTCTTTCCTTATGACGAATGTATCTTTTCTTTTATGTATACTGAAAGCATTTGCACCAAGACAAATTCCTTGTGTGTCCAATCACACTTGCCCAATAAAGAATTCTATTCTATTCTATTCTATTCTATTCTATTCTATTCTATTCTAT